TAGAAATAAATGTTCTTTTGGATCAGAGAGCTGCACTTCTCAGCATTTCAGAAGAGCTGAATAGAGAGCTGGCTTTCCTTTGGGCTCAAACAATGGCTTATCAGAGATGGGTTTTAATTCCCATTCTCTGTGTACGGTCTGTGTCAGAACTGATAAGGTGGCCCAGTTAATTAGCTGCAACCCAACAAGGGCCTAAAAGCAGAGTCAAGGCAAGCTTCAGGAGCTGGGACTGATTTCATCATAATGTATTATAGATTAATGTCCCACTGGTACTGTAAAATTCTCTGCATAAATCAAAATCTTTTATTTACCATGAAAGCAGGCACCATGAACAATAGTTTTATTAACTGTTTCACAACTGAAAGACTTTCATGGTGACAGAAATAAAGAACTTGCATTTCAATAACACTTTTCAGGGCATCTCAAAATGACTTACAGCCGATGAAGTGCTTTGAGTTGCTGGTACTATTACAGTATAAGATATGCACCAGCCAATTTGTACAAAGTGGAATGCTGGAGTCAATATTTCGAAAAACCCCAGGGAGCTTCCACCAATATCCAGATGTGTATTGGTCTCTAAACCAACGTCATAAAAACACATTTTATCCAATCATTAACTCATTGCTTTATGGGAGCTTGGTGTGTGTAAACTGTCTACTAAGTTTCTTACATTACAATAGTGACTGTACTTCAAAAAAGGTCATTGAATATGAAGCACCTTGGGATGGCCAGAGACTGTGGAAGGTGCTTTAATAATGTATGCACAATTCTTGCTGTAATCTAGTCGATTCTTGTGTTGACGGATAGGTTGAATCGATTAGTAAAATCGTTAAATTCTTAATACTATCATTGCTTTGAACTCAATCTCTATGTGGCGATGTGGCGCCTCATTCATAGAAGGTACTATGTATAGCCAACTATTTCTTTCTCTTCATTAACTTGCCGCACCATGGAAATTTCCTCATCATTGAATTTTCTGGACACAGTCATAAACATTGAGAAAAGACTGGATCTGCCTCAGCACTGGTCCCTTGCACTCTCATATATTTTACAAAGATGTGTGGTCAGGACTAAAGAAAGACCAGAGATACCAGATGGAAAGCTGGCACGCATGGCATTGTACTCCAGCAAGACTCCATATCTCCAGGACAGGAAGGGAAAACTTAAAGGTGAAAGGTCTGAGAAAACAACTCACAAACCAGATGTTAATCTGGCACAGAACAAAACACCACACATTCAGACTGTGAGATCCATAAGTCGCTTGTTGTATTATCAAGGATATCAGATGTGATTGACAACACAATGCAGTTGTCATTGGATGATGAAAGGTGATATAACAAAGCTTCAGTCAACTATGATTCAATAATTTACCTGTCTCAGTCACAGGTCTATAGAGACGTTAAACAAGAGGCATCTACCACTATGGTATACAACTTGGTTTGCATGCAATGCGTAAGAGAAACATTGCATCAGAATCCACAGCATTAGTATTAAAGGGTAGTTTGCCAAAGAGTATTGGGAGATTAGAGCTGCCACAGCACCAGGCAAATTGGTGAAAGGAACCACGTGGATTATCCCTTCAGATTGGCATTAATGAAGAGTTCACTATTGATTTTTTTTGCTCCATCTCTTGCATACTTCTCCGAAGCTCTCCAGCTCTTCCATCCTCACTGCTTAAAATCTCTTCAGTTAATCTTTTGGTGATCCTAATGTTTCTTTCATCCATGTTTTTGTCTATTTATATTACATGAATAGCTTTGCAATGGTGTATTGCATTAAAAGTGCTCTGCAATTGCAGGTGGATATGTTATTTAGGGCCATTCTATTTCATTACACTTTGCCCCCAGATTGAAAGCTGAGGATCATTTGGTGTAAAATACAAACGTGACCGGTTTCTAATCCACATCCAATCAGTAAAGCAGAGGTGTTGGGCCTAGCTGTGCATGCAAAAAGATAGGCCTACAGCAATGACTGTGTATTCCAACATTAAACAGTCTCTCACAACAGGGAGCCTCGCCTAAATCTGTTCTACAACAGATGGCAGTCACAAACAAGCCAAGACAAGCTGGGTCAGGTATCTTTGCAGCCACATCACCTTAACCAGCTCTGACAGACCATCCATAGAACCACTTTGTAATTCATTTTGATGCAGAGGCACTGCCTGTGAGATAGATAGAGGGCAAGAGAGTTAAAGTCAGAGACATGGAGAGACAGAGAATGAGAGATGGAGACATAGGTACTGAGACATAGAGAACTAGCGAAAGAAACAGGTACAGAGAAATGGAGAATAAGAGATGAGGAGACACAGAGACTAAGAGAAGAAGACAAAGACATAAAGATTCAGGTAACCAGAAACAAGAAGCATAAAATGATAGAAAACAAGGGAAGCAGACTCAGAGATAGAGAGTGAGAGCAGCAGAGACATCGAAAGATAGAGAAAAATAAGATTGAAATGAATCAAGAGAAATAAAAGCAGAAACAGAGAGACATATAGAAACAAGAGGTTGAACAAATTTGACATACAAATAAAATATCTATAAGCAATATGAGACATAGGAAACAAAACATGGTTCAGGAAGGATTATGTGATGATGAAAATAGATAAAATGAAAGGTAGAAAGAGTGAATAAGGATATTGTGGAACAACTGCCACGGGTCAGAGATGGTTTGAGTCTAAACCTCTTCATTACAAACATGCAGATGAAAGTTGTTGTACAAATGCCACAATCACAGTCAAAATCAGAAACATGTTTTTAAAAGCACTAAGTGACAGAGGTTCAAACTCCAGTGTCTTATTAAATCTCTTGACGTTTCTCCCCCTAAATCTCTGTAAACTCAGAGATCAAGTACAGCAAATAAGATTACTTATACGCAATTCTAAAAAAGAACAAACTCAACTGGCTTCAAAACACCCTCAGTCTTATCCAGCCTGCGTCACTCTTCTGGAATGTTTATTTAATCACATTTACACACACTAGCAAGCTACTAGAAGGTACAGAAGTTATGAAAAGAAAAACAGCTTGTGCTTATGAACTGCAGTGACTTCATCTCCTGCAACATTATCAACTCCTTAATTCTCCACATCAATAAACAGAAAGGTTTATGGGCATAAATCGAGAGAGTGAAAAGAGATATGGAGATATACAAAGAAAGAAAGGTAGATATATAAAGAAAGGTAGAGGAAACAGTTTCCAGCTAGCTATTAATGCCATTAGACACACTCTATCAATACATGCAGCTGGCATACCCAGTACTATACTGCTGGAAGAGGCTGTGCAACAAATCACTGATCAGAACATTAAGATAATGGCATGTTCTCTTAGCTCTGTCCTCAATCAAATATTGCTAGGACAAAGAGCCAGTAAGGGGATTCAGATGTTGGCTACAATAACAGCTGTGTGCAGGGGAGAGTAAGTTTAAATGTAACTGGTTCAGGTAGATGTCAATTCACTGTTAATCCAGCAAAGCATTGATTTTGAAATTCTCGTGTGTTCCAATCTGTCAAATTTCCCCACCACTAACCTTCAGCCCCACCTCTGTAACCTCTCCCTGTCCTACAACTCCCTGAAATCTTTGTGTTTCATAAGGTCTTAATAGGCCTGATTTTCTATGCTCCACCATCACCAGCTGTGCCTTCAGCTGCTGGGGTCTTTAGCTCTGGAACTCCTTCCCAAAATCTCTCCACCTCTCTACCCTTCCCCCTCTCTTCCGTTAAGACTCTTTTTTCAGTTGACTTGTCCAAATGTGGCTTTCTGTGGCTCAGTAACAAATTTTGTTATAGACATTTTGAATTAGAAATTACATAGGACAGAATATTACCTGTTCACAGGGTAGGAACAAAGTGGGGAAGGAGGTCTGCTGGTAAAATCAGGGGAACCATGGCAGAACCATGGACCATTTCCCGCTGCTGAGGAATTTTACCAACTGTTCATAAGGGAGTGAACAAGCATCTTGCTCCAGTGAAGCAGGAACCTAATTCCAAATATAAAGGCTATGCTGAGATTTTGGCAATAATGGGTCAACAGTGCCCCCATCTGGGAAGGCCAATAGCTGAATGTAAGTGATGTCCCGGTGACACTGAAGGAGGAAGCATTTTTTCTAATCTAAGCAGGGGCCTTGGTTGGGGAAGGCAGTCTCCTCAGATCTAAAACTTTCCTCGAAAGGGTTTGCCCTACATTAGTGATGGCGTTTTTCTAAAATTATCTTTTGCCTACTTTCTATAGGCTGTAGGGCCAACTCCTTCCTCCATAGCACACCTGCTGGCCACTGCTGAGGTTCCAGGGTTATTGGCCATTCAGGATTCAGGTGGTTGGTGGTTAGGGTTGTTGGGGTGGGTGTCTGGAGTGCACAGACCTGTCTCCAAACAATCAATGTCCCAAACAGCTTTAAATGACCAAGGTTGCTGACAGGTTGGGTGGCAGGGTAAGAAGTCCCATCAGTTGAAAAATCCTGCCCCTGGGGTCTACAGATAGACCATTTGGCCCAATTGGTCCACACCATTGTTAATATTGCACGCAGGTCTCCTCCGCCAATGTCTGGGGTTTGATTACTACCATAAAGGCAAAATGCAAGTCGTTGTTAGGGTTAGAGGTTGATGTAGGGTGGCTGTAGTACTGGTTAGACATTTGTATATGTTTGTTTGCTTGCTGTATGAGAGTGTAGGTAGATCTTTGACAGGATTGATAACAGAAGGGTGAATTGATAGGACAGTGTGGAATCAATCATACTTACCCTATTCTTCAGGACCATTATCAACGTATTTTGCAGTTACCTTAAAACAGTTAAAATGGATCATGTAGATTCTTCCTTTATCTAACCTTTGACCGTTTCAACATGTGACACCCAAACCTGTGATTGTCTTGCAGTTTATTTGTATGTTTGATTTGAACAGCACTTTAAACTCCAAAGCATTGCCTCCAGATTCAAAATAAACAAAGTTACAATTGATCTGCTGTAAGAAAATAGTACTAAAAGTGGAGATCTCCTTTCAAGTACCCTACCTGCTGGTAGATGTCTTTGTAATGTGGTGCAGTGTCCATCAGAAGCAAGGTGTATGTGTGCATGACTAATCAATATGAGACCCAATATCCAATGACTGCTTCGTACCTGTATAGCAAGAACAACAAATCTCAATCATAATACTAAGCAAGGTTAAAATTCACAAATGCATATGTCTAATAGTGGATGACAGCAGCACAATTTAAGGATACCTCAATTATTCATAGTCGCCATGTCCTACGTTTGTTTTTTTTTCTTAGGAGTCCGAAGCTGGAGAATCTTTCTGTACCACTGCCCAACACTACCCGCTCCCCTCCCCCCGCAAAAAAATGTCACATTGCCAGAATAGGGCATTTGGCTATGAAAGTGTACTGGTGTAACAAGGAAATGGGAGTGAAATTTCAGCTTGAATACAATCGAGAATTTACATCTGATATCCATCTAAAACTGCACTGGTTATTTTGCAGCGTAAGTTTCTGATTAAACAAAATCATGTGCAGAACCACAGTTGTAAAATATTCCTCGAACCAGGACAATCAGGCAGCATAATAGAATACAATTACCTCTTTTCCTCCCCATGAAACAGAATTCTATGATATATTCAAACTGGTAACCACAGTACAGTTTTATTAATGCAGCTGAAAAAGGGTTCATTACGAACATATGCATTCATATTAAGTATCCAGTCCTCCATCAGTCAATAAACTGATTTGAGATGACTGAACTGATGCCAGAAATCTATTCAGATCCATTTATGAGTTAAATTGGTGTACGCCAGTCGGTTACTTAGTAAAGTAAAAGGACCTGATTTTGTGGTAGTAATAACAATGAAGCTGTCAGCATCCTCTGAAATTGACAGCAACCTCTGGTGTTTGACGCTTTTAAGCACAGAAGTCCAGAAGTTGTTCCTAGTGATTTTACACTTCTCGATAAGGTGCGCAAATGAAGCCCCCACAAAATTAAATCAATTAGAAATTAGTGAACTGGTGATAGCTTCCCTTCTTATACTAATAGGCTTATTGTAAAAGCCCTTGGAAAGTTACAATTTGTTGAGTAAGCTAAAGTGGATTTTTAATGGCGCACTAAGTTTTATAATTATTGCTGAACAATTTCTGATAAATTACTCTGTAAGACTAATTTTACTTTTGTGGAATGCCCTATTTCTCCATTCTGATAAAAGAGAACATATATTTTAAAACAATGATTTAAACATGTTTTTAATGTTCCTTCACTTCAACCTTAATCGCATGTGCATGTCTGAATCATTTATTTTGCACTCTGCAGAATGATATTAAAGGCTGAATAATAATCAGTAACCTCCTGGTATGCTGTCTGTGAGAATACTTCAGTATGATTGCTTATCTGCTTGCTGACATCATTGTTGCTGCATGCCAAGAGTTTACTTTAACTTGATGCCAGATTTAAGCTAGCATCAGGAGAGGCACAACATAGAGATTGCCATATATTTGTGAACAGCTTTCTTTGAGGTCAGAACCAAGTGCTGTTAATGCACCACTGACTGTGTATATTTTTTTGACATGGTAACACTCTTTTAAATATGGCTACTCATGCCTATGAAAATGAGCATAATTTGAAAAGACTTCCTGAATCAGGGCAGTCGGTGAAATCCTGAATTTTGGCTTGGCCATCTGGTCAATTTTGTGGGCAAATCTGACATAGCAAATTGAATGTCAAACCAACGCAAAAGATTGTGGGAAACACAAACTTAAGTAGGTTTTGAGCATGATTCACTTTTGTTTTAAATTCCCCAATCCAAGTGCTCTGGAATGACTGATTCTGCTCTTATTGCTCCAAAATTATTAATGAAACTTAGTAGAAAATCTACCTATGGACAGTGGTGGGGTCAAGGTTAGTTATGATGCCTTAGACAGTCAAACATTCTGCTGACACACTGTTCAGACTCACAAAGGAAGAAAGGCTACTTGGAAAAGACATCAAAGAATAGCTGGCAATTTGGAAGTGCAAAAAGCACTGGGGAAATGGAGTGAAGGAAGATTTGATATTTGCAAAACTATAAATTTTAAAAAGAGTAAACGTCTAAATTCCCAAATCACACCCATGTCAGAGTAACTTTTTAGATTCTGATACCATCTCTGACAGCACAGAAATTCACCTCACTGCAAATGTGGGCATTGACAATGAATCATAGAATCCCTACAGTGTGAAAACAGGCCCTTTGGCCCGACAAGTCCACACTGACCTTCACAGAGCATCCCACCCAGACCCATCACACTGTAACCCACCTAATCTACACATCCCTGAACACTACAGGCAATTTAGCATGGTCAATCCACCTAGTCCGCATATTTTTGGGCTGTGGGAGGAAACCAGAACACCCAGAGGAAACTCATGCAGACACCGGGAGAATGTACAAACTCCACACAGATAGTCACCCAAGGGTGGAATTGAACCCAGGTTCCTGGCGCTGTGAGACAGCAGTGCTAACCACTAAGCCACTGTGCCGCCCCAAACATTAATAGCTTTCCAATTATTCTATGAATTAATATTCATGACATCCCAAAGCCCTTTGCATCATAGATGATGGCTTGTTCATAAACATGCACACATACACACGCGCACACACAGACACAGATATACACACACACATACACACACATATATAAATAAATACACAGAAATATAGACACGTATACATACAAAGCCAACACAGCTCAAAGCAAATTGGGAAGCTTGTGTCATTAATCAGCATAAATTAAATTTGTCAAAAATGCCAGTCATTAAGATTGACAATAATAAGACTTTTACACAAAGAATCAAAAAAAGAAAAAAAGGCAAGGTCACTATAATTACTAATTGCTCGGGGCTGGATAGCAGATATTCCATATCAATTTTTCATTACACGATTATGAATAATCCACTGTACTGTTCATTGCAATTAATGCCCCTGCTCAACCCAGTGGTAGAAAATTTTAATGTATATTAAACAGTATTCACAAGAATAAGTTAATCCTATTAAAAAAAAACTTGTTTTCTTTCCTGAAATAAAGCAGCTTGCTATTATATTGCAACTGACTATGGAAGAAGTAGAAGTTTGAACAGCAAGGTGCTGTTTTAAACAGCTAAATACCATAACAGCACTGAAATTGAATAGAGTAAGGGATGAAATGAAAGAATTCTTAAGGAAAGAAGTTTTTTTTTATATAGAATCTTTCACAATCCCAGAACATCCCAACATACCAATTGACTTATACAATATAGTGAAATGGGGTCATTGAAGTAAAGCAGGAAATAAGACAAGCAACTTGCAAACAGGAAACTTCCACAAACTGTAATGTGCTAATGAGCAGATTATTTGTTTCAGAAATGTTAGTATCAGAGATGGTCAGGAAACCGGGGCAAACTCAGATACTCTTTTTCACTGTTGTGCCAGAGAACTTTTATGCCCACCTTAAAATGCAGACAAGGGCATCACAGCTTAACAACCCATCTGGAAGATGGCCCCTCCAACAGAACAGCACATCTGCAGTACTGTCCTGCATCAGTTAGATGTTTTGCTTAAATATCTGAAGTGGGCTTTGAATCCACATCAATCTGACTCAGTAAGAGTACTCTTCACACAGCGACACCTTACACAATGTAATTCAACAAGTAGTGATGTCACACCTTTCCAAATTAGACAGGTGATTGATATGACTAATTTTTTTTCTCCTTCAATTCTAATCTTACTGATTTTAGTAAAGGACTTTCCTCCATTGTTTCATTGCATTCCATCAGATTGACCAAAATCGTTCAGCTGGTTCTCCAATCCTTTTCAATGTTTTCGAGAAATATGGATATAAATTAAATTGTATTATCTCTTCATACATAAAACAGTGAAAGCACTTCAAAATTATTCCAATGACTGTCAAGCTGAGATTACAAAAGGTGCTCTATAAATGCAATTTTTGTCCTTGTTTCCTTCCCTCTCCCTTCATTCCCTCCCTAATGACATTGTGAGTCTACCTACAGCATATGGACTGCAGCAGTTAAAGAAGGTAGCTCATCACCACCTTCTCAAGGGCAACTAGGGACAGGCAATAAATGCTGGGCCCAGCCAGTGATGCCTGTATCTCATGAGTGAATAATAAAAAAATCTTCCTTCTTCCCTTCAAATCTCCCTTTCATCCATTCCTCTTTTCATCCTTTCCACCTTCCTCCCTTTCTTCATTTTGTCTCTTAGTCTCTTCCTGAACCATCCTTGCTTCTCTTTAAGTGTTTGATTACATTTTCTGTATCTCCTAGGAAGTGAACCTTTTTCACCCTTCCAACTCAAACACTGATACTTTCTGAAGTCCATCAACCTGAAGGCTTTGGCTCAATCTTTGATCGCCAGTTTGCTTTTCATTACAGTGGGGGGTTCTTCTTCCTCTTGAATTCAGCTCCAGGACACTTAGATGAATCATTCATAATTGCCTTAGATAAATTTAAAGCTTTTGACTGGATCTGGCACAATGCCCTTCTAAAATAAGTTAGCACCATATGGTCACCTACAAAGCTATGTTCATGGCTGTCTAGTTCATCTCAAAACCCTCTCTCTGCATTCAACTTGATGACTCATTCCCCAAATTCAGTTTTCCTTCTTATACATTCTATTCTACATACGATACAAGGGAACAATAGGATGCAAAGAAACAAAGCAAAAAATGATAAGAAACTTGCAAATGTGATCAAAGCTAACGATAAAAGCTTTTCGAGCCACATAGGAACAAGAGAAGACCATTTGAGCCATCAAACCTGTTTTGCCATTTACTTAGGTGGGTACATTAAATCCATCTCCCCACCTTCATTCTATAAGCCTCAATATTCTTCCATAAAGAAAATTAATCATCACAGTTTTGAAATGTTCAATTGCATAGGAAATAAATGGAGGAAAGAGGAAGAGTATGGCAACTGGGAGTGTGAACTATTTAAATGACTGATATGGGTGATATGTGCCACAGATGACTATCTATCCACTGGACCCAAAGAACCACTTACAGGGGCTTTTCTTTCAGCTTCCACTGCATTATCTCTGGTGTCCCCTAACAATCTGCTACCTTTCACCCATGCTGACCTTTCTGACTTCCCCTTATCACAGAGTACTAATG